CTTCTTACTCTACATGTATGGGTAAAATTGAGATGAATGATAGAGAGGTGTCGGAAATTGCAATCTTAAGTCCTTAAACTTCTTTTCCACGAATCATTAGAGAACTTATTGAGTCTGTCTTCAAAAAGTCGTACTAGATCATAAATTGTCTTCTCAAATATGTAAAAGGTCCTTTTTACTTCACTGGGGCCAACTATGTTGAAATCATAAACATTGCTGAGGAACTTTCGGCATTTCTTCGTAGTAGTTAGTGTGTCAAGCCTGAGGTGACTCATCTGGTGTCAGAATCTCAAGATTGAAATTTAGCATGTATTGAATAAGAAGGGACCTTCTTTGCTCTACTATTTCAACTTTCCTCCAAGAAATTATGGCTCCATTTAGTAAATGAAAATTTTGTGTAGGTTTTATTTTCTAAATTTATATTTTCTTGACAAAACTATACAAGTTTGTGAACAATGAAAAGCACAGTAGTGAAAATGACAATAGAATTAAAAAAATTAAATTTTGTTTTTAGTATTTTCTAGAAAATTATTTTGTTTATGTTTTGATTGGTTACACAAATATGCAACATATAACTACTTCTATGAATAAAGACATAAACACTTGAATTTAGAAAATAGAAATAGAAAATGTTTTTATACCAAGCATAGACTGTATTTCTCTTTTTTTTTATTTTGCACCCTTTTTGTATATGTATAACTTCAGTTACTTAAACAGGTTTTAAGCATGAGTAGACTTGGTGCAGCTGGTGCAGTGGCTCAACTCGTTGCAGACGTACCCTTGTCATCGGTTGAGGTAGTAAAACTTGAAAAATCTGAACTTTCGAAACGATCAACCTCCCTATTCTTGCATAAGATTGCTATACTTCTGTTTGTTTATGTCATATCCGAGAGAGACACAGACCAACAAGAATGCAAATACTAGCAGTTTTAAACACACCGTTGTCTGGGCCACGATAGCTTTTATTCGTTCTGGCGAGTTGAGTGGCTTATGTAATCCTATACCTTTTCTGCTTTATATGCAAGTTGTACTTTGTTGTGTGTCGGAAAGGTAACTTGACAAGTTTTCCCCAAATAAATATGTTGATTTGAGTAATTGTCTGTCTCTTTCTATCAACAATAATTCTGAACTTTTTCTTCTTAACAATATACTTCTGGTCTTCCTCTGATTAAGGGAGCTGGAGTTGATGGCGGAACCAACCAGCCGGCTTGGGATAAATGGTCAAACGATGGCACCGAGCAACAAGTTGCGAAGCTGATGGAAGAAGACATGGGAGCAGCAATGCAGTTCCTTCAGTCCAAGGCACTATGCATCATGCCTATCTCTCTTGCCTCCGCAATCTTCAGAACACATCAACCTGATGCACCGACAATCATCAAGCCTGAATCAACCAATCCCTTGTAGTACAAGCCGAAAGTGTTCAACTTGCACGTACCTCACCCCGAGTTGCTTCGGGCCCACAAACCCTTCAGCAGTCACAGTCTTACTCAAACAAGAAGACATAAGTTTAGGCTCAGGTCCAGTCTCTAACTCCTTAATGGAAGAAGACAAATAAAAGTCAGCAATTCTTTTTTTTCCCCCCCCACCCCCCTGGTTTTGTCAAAAAAGATAAAGGAGTGATCTTGATGGGCAAGAAGAAAGTTTTTAAGAGGGCACTTGAAGGGGGCAATGCCAATGATCAAGTGAAGGGAAAGTATTTTCAAACCAGAACTGATGTAATATATATATATATATATACATATATTATATGTGTTATATTATTATTAATGGTGGGGTTAGTGGTTGATGACCCAAAAGGAAAACTTGGTGGGTGAAAAACTTTGGTTTGCTTTCTTTTTAGAAGAGTGGTGGGATTGTGGGGTCAAGTAAAAGGGGTGGATGGGTATGTGCATTTGATGTATTTAGGGAACCATTTTTATTGCAAGTTGAAATTAGTAATAATTAAGTATTTTGGTTTAATAAAGTTTTTTATGTAGGCCCAAAAATAAATTACTTGTCTTGTGAAATTCCATTGTTGGGTTTTTATAAAAAAAGATGAGTAATATATATATATATATATATATATATATATAAAAGTATAGTTTGACTTTTTAACTCACTAATTTTATATAAAGAACAATGTATTGATTATTTAACACAATGAACATGGATTATAAAAAATTTAAGAAAATAGAGGAAATGGAAAAACCTCTATTTTTTATTCACATAGATTATAAAA